GAGAGAGAGAGGGAGAGTCTACTACGTAAGATGCGATTTGATTTGTAGTAGATGGGAAAAAACCCGGCCCGGATCTTATCTTCACTGGCGATGTGTTTGATGGAGTGGAAAGAAAGGTACAAGGGGCGYCTTTGCTTTGGATGGATGTCTGAGTGGTTGAAGGTATCAGTCTTGAAAACTGACATATTACAAAATATCGGGGGTTCGAATCCCTCTCCATCCGTTCATGTATGTTAATTTATGGATAATGAATTCAGTATTGAAAATGATTATCAAGGAAGCCCCTCGCAAATTTATGGTTTTCTTAATTTTCGTCCTTTTTTTTCACGGTTTAAAAGAACCCGCATCGGGTCACGGTCTGGGAAGCTCGTGATGCAACAAGGGCAAGATTGGCAGGGGAAAAAGGGCACAGGGTGGGGGGGGGGGGGGGGGGGGGGGGGGGGGGGGGGGGGGGCGCGGGGACAGGGAGGTACTACAGAGGGAGCAGTGGGCCAAGAGTGGGTGGTGGAGGATATGCACCCCTTTTTCTTTTTCTCAGGGTAAGCAGCACGCGTAAGGCCTTGAGCCTTGTTCTGCATGTCGAGAGCCTTGTTGTGCAAGTCGAGAGTGGAGCTGAGGCCCCTACACAGCTGTTTTCGTAAGTTTTTTTTTCTTTTTTTTTACCCCTGCTTTTGGCGGCAGGGCGGGCAGGCATTCCTTGGGTCTTTAACAGTAGTCGTTTAACCGTTGGGCCACAAGTGGTGGAGTGGCAGAACTGGAAAATGGAACGAATGGGCGACGGTTTTTCCGTGCTAAAAAAAACAAAATTAAAAATAATAATATTTTTTTCTGATATTTTTCTTAATTTAGGCCAGCGAGGGGAGTCGTGGTTTCTCATTTACACAGAGAGAGAGACAGAGAGAGAGAGAGAGAGAGAGAGAGAGAGAGAGAGAGAGAGAGAGAGAGAGAGAGAGAGAGAGAAGACTTGGCGAAAAAAGTCGAAGCATCTTGAAGCACACTACAAAACAATTGCAGCAATAGTAAAATTTATCTTCGTCGCTAGTCTTTGCACTAGTCGAGTAAGCGTGCTCAACAATCAGCGAGAGAGAGCGAGAGGAAGAGAAAGAGAGAATGAGGGAGAGAGAGAGAGAGAAAGAAAGTAAGAGAGAAAGACAAAGACAGAGAGAAAAGGAGATCACGTAGCGAATAAAATCGAAGGATGTTGCAGCACAGTGTTCAAACAACCACAGCAAGACGAAACTTCTCTTCAACATTGGTCTATGTACCAGCTCTCGTAACCAACTAATCTAACACCTACTGTGCCCTAAACTACAACACAGTGCTCTACTTGCCGTGGTGAAAAGTTCTACACTAACCTACAATATCCTCTACTGTAGCCTGCACCACTGCAAAGTCTGCCCCAGTACAGGAGGACAACAACAAAAAGAGTGCCCTTGTAGAGGAGGGCAACAGGGTGGGAAGGAAGCAAGGCAACAACAAAACGAGTGCCTTATGGTGGGAAGGGACAATCCTTTGAGGGCTCGAGCTGGCCCACACCAATAGAAAAGTACAACCGAGAAGCGGCCGCAAGAGGCAGTCGTAGCTGGCCCACACCAACACAAATAACATTATAGGACTATAACAAAGAAGAGGGCTCAAGCTAGCACGCACCAACACAAAAGTACAAGGGTAGCAAAAACACAGAAGCTCTCGGCACAGTCGTCAAGATTATAGCCCTATAACTGGGAGGAACTTCTAAGGACTGCAAACTGCAATTCAGAGCAAAAGATGACTGCAATTTGTCTTGGCTAACTTTTGCCTCCGCCAGCCTCCCTTGTGCGTGCCCCTAATGCATGAACACCTTTTTTCGCGCGAGGGCTTGTAACCTCGTCACCGGCGATCTTCCGTTTCCTTGACCTCGTAGTTGTCCGACGTGAGGAGTCTTGGCTGTGTGCAGGCCCCGCTTCCTCTCGCTGTGCGAGCGCTTCTGTGCCTGGTCCAGCTGTTGCTGACTCGCTCGCTGCCCCTTGTGCGCTCGCTGCTGCTGCTGCTGCTGCTGCTACTGCTGCTGGTGGTATTGTTGCTGCCGCTGCTGGTGGTTCTGTTGCTGCTGCTGCTGCGGGTGGTTCTGTTGCTGTGGCTGCTGCGGGTGTTGCTGCTACTGTTGCTGTTGCTGCTGCTGGTGGTGCTGCTGCTACTGTTGCTGCTGCTGCTAGTGGTGTTGCTGTTGCTGCTGCTAGTGGTGTTGGTGCTGCTGGTGGTGGTGTTGGTGCTGGTGCTCTTGCTGGTGATGCTTCTGCTGCGGGTGGTCCTGCAGCTGCTGGTTCGGCTGCTGTTGCTACTGCCGCAGCAGTGGTCGGTGTTGTTGTTGCAGTTGTGTCCTCTGCAGCGACTACACAATTGTAAGTCTTATCCTCCACTGCGGTCTCCTTGCGCCTGCTTTGTCTTTCAATCATAGGGCCAATATCGTTCAGAATGCGAGCCCGGATTCCCTTGATGCAGCGCGTGCACTTGTCAACCACCAGGCAATTCCCGTTGCAGAAAACGCTGGCGATTGCACTTGTTCCGGACCCGGAAAAACCGTCGATGATATAAGCGCCAGGAGGAGAGAATTTCTCGATCAACCACGTGTACAAGGCGACAGGCTTCTGGTAAGGGCACAACACCTCGAGGTCGGTCGGATGAATATACTTCTTCATAACAGCATCGAACAGCCTGTAGTTGTGCCTGGGGTCTGTGCTGGCAAAATTGTAATGAGTTGCCTCTCGAGAACCACTTTGGTTGTAGTAGTCGATGACACAAAACTCTGTCGCGCTCACAAGACGAGGCCATCCTGTGTTCATGATATTCGGCTTGCACCACGTAACCACCTCCTCTCCTGCATTGCAAACCATCTTGAACGCTCGCCGAACCGAGGGCAGCATGTCCAGAGAGCAGAATCCGACAATTGTCCACAACGGTCCACTGCATACCTCCTTGATGTTCTCAAGGACCTGAACAATGTGCTCCTCAGRAAAAGGAACARAATYGCCAGAGGACMTTGGCAGATTAAACTYGTACGGGAAGTCGCAGATAATCAGAGAGAAAGGCAACTTCTCTGTCAAGTTCTTCAAGTCCATCATATCGCCTTCCAGGACTTTCACGTTGCCGCARTGTTCTTTATATTTCACCTCCGTCCAGTCCAAGAAGTGAGTACCAGYTTTTTMTGAGACGACGAGTTTARACCTTGTTCTTCGACTTTCGGCCTCCSTTTTGTCATTCRGYTCCTTCCACGYCTTCGCTCGAGCAACGTGYTGTTGCAAAGCTCGAGGTACATCYGCCTTYTGYTTCCARTTACTGGCRARRGGCTCCAAAACATCCTTGGTTGTGTKGAGTGGGTAAAGTTCTTTGCAGCTAGCCCAATCTGCTGACTTTGWTTMTGTTAAGAAATACCTAACCACTCGACCGAACCTCTTCGCCACCTCAAACTTCTTCCGCATACCATCAATCGAGAGTTRCTTTGCGGCCACCTGTTYGAGGATGGGAATAACAGACTYGTCATCGAGAGAACCCATCTCCACCCAATGCGCCTRTGGCATRTYWKTTGGCTCAGCTACAATTTTTCCATGYTCCACCTGCGCTCTAGRATTGAAGAAACGCAGTACCTGACGTTGGGCTTCAGCAGAATTGAATTTCTTCAATCTTTTCTTCRCTGYYGGCCRAGTTCCYTCTGGGYCAYCCGCCTCGCTATCATCACTAGAARKTTTYGCCTTTTTCCCAGTAGRRACCTTYATTTTMTGGTYCAGACAATCCCCTTTCAACCACATATCSAATATCTTCAGCTGAAGGGTCCACACTTCCTTGGACCGCATGCRRACCTGGAAATGTGGATCCGACCTCTGYARAAGATYTTTGTCTGGGTTTRAAAATCCAATTTCCTGCAAGCATGCAGTCTTYGTAGCGGCATTCTTTTRGCAGCCCATCGATTCGAACACCRCTCGCCAGCATTTCARTTTCTGGATGAAACTGAAGTCCTGGTGGAAGCMTGCAATGTGGTTGTGCTCGTGCRCGATCTTACGAGCTTCCTGRAYGGTGAGRCYGACGTAAATGAAACAATTCGCCTTTTGGAAAGCAGAGACAGTCGGGTGAAGGTTCCTAAGGCGTTCTCTGGCCTCCCTTGTGTGTCCACCACCGAGCACGAAAACTTTGTAGCCTCCAGAGAGCAGTTTGTCGAGATCCACATCTTCCTTCGTATGAGCCTGCGAAGGATCAATCAAGCCGACGTGAGCCAGAGTGTCTGCAAAAGGGTTCCTCTTCATGGAGTTCACGATCCGTCGGACCTGCCTCTCCTCGGGCTCGCGAACCTCCACTGGTCTCTTGCCACTGTCATCAGCAGCAGGTCGAAGGAGGCAGGATGCTGGAAGGGTGAACGAGTTGGCGTCAAGCTTCTTGTCATTAAGCTCTTTTAACTCCTCCCACATTCGAGAGAGCTTCTCAGCCTCGTCGCTAGGAGTAAGCTCCTTCGCCACTGGCAACTTTTCTTTTGTTTGATCCTTCCCTTTCGCGGACTTCTTCTCCGCCGTTTTCCTCTTTGCAGACTTTGGCTCCTCCGCTTTCTTCTTATCTTTGACAGTCGTTTTCCGCGCGAGCATTTTCTTCTTCGTTTTCGCACCCGAACCCACATTTGTTGCGGCAGTGGATCCAACACACGCTTGGGGCGAATGAAAAGGTGACCCTTCCCGCTGCCTTAACCCTGAGGAAGCAGTCCCTTTGGAGACCCTCACTCGACCTTTCACAGGTTGGGACGCATACGGCCCTGCGGTTAGTGACTATGCTTTCCTCGAAACACGGACCTCCTCACGAAGTGCCGGAAAGGTATACTCTCCGACAGTTTTACAAAATTCCTGCAAAGGAACACGTTGAGTGAAACAAGGAGTGAGAACGAGACAGCGAAAGTAGTCTTATAGCACTATAATATGAAAAGAGAGCACCAAACTACGAAAGTAGTCTTATAGCACTATAATTTCAAAAGAGAGCACCGCACTGCGAAAACAGTTAAGAGCATCGAACTGCGAAGGTAGTCTTGTAGCACTTTAATTGGAAAAGATAGCTCCAGACTGCGAAAGCAGTCTTATAGCACTATAATGTGAAAAGAGAGAACCGAACTGCGAAAGTGTCTTTTAGCACTCGAATTTGAAAAGAGAGCACCGTACAGCGACAAAAGTTAAGAGCACCGGACTGCAAAAGTAGTCTTTTGACACTAAAATAAAAAAACAGAGCACCAGACTGCAAAAGAACACTAAAAGTAGGATTATAGCACTATAATGAGAAAGAGACTGCAAAAGAACACTAAAAGTAGGATTATAGCACTATAATGCAAAAGAGAATTACAGCACTGCAAAAGCAGGATTATAGCATTACAATGTGAATGAGAATTATAACACTATAATGTAAAAAGAGCACCGGACTACAAAAGCAAGATTAGAACACTTCAATGTCACCAGAGAATTGTAGCATCGCACTCCGAGAAATAATTTCTAGCAGTGCACTTCAAGAACAAATTTGTAAGCACTAGCCTAGACAATCAGGATTAGAGCACTAAAATATCACAAGAGAATCGTAGCGGCGCACTCCGATAACTGATTTGTAGCACTAGACTACAAAAGCAGGATTACAACGCTTTACTGCTGCTCACTGAAAGAAGAGACCTTCCTCAAACAAACAGTCGTACCTTGAAGCCCTTTTGATTCGCCTTTTTGATATGGGAATCTAGCTTCTGCTCCCAAACAACCATGATTGCACGACGCAGAACGAACTTGGTCAAAATCGACCCCACATTCACCCAAGCAAGTGTCAGATCCTCGTGGCTCTCTCGTGCAGAGGCGAAGTATATTAGTTCCCCGCAGTATTTGTATCTCTCCTGGTCTGCATGTTTGGTCCACAGTTCCACAGCCGATTGGAACAGCACAATGTTCCACAGGCAAGAGATTAATTCCTCGGACTGCTTTGCCCTCCTCAAAAACTTCTCGATGTACACATTTTGGTTTGCCCTCTCTTGTTCAGCAGTCCGCTCAAAGACAGCGTTGTCTTCTTCCTCGTCCTCTTCTTCCTCGTCTCCTTCTTCCTCATCCTCGTCACCCTGTTCACCCTCGTCTACTGCTTCCTCGCGCTTGCTGCCAAAGTCACCCTCCTCACCCTCCTCATCCTCCTCACCCTCCTCATCCTCCTCCACTTCCTCATCCTCCTCACCCTCCTCATCCTCCTCCACTTCCTCTTCCTCCTCCGGACCAAGAGTGTCTTCTTCCGATTCAGTCACTTCAAACTAAGCCTGGATAGTAGGCGTTTTTTCGGCATCAGCGTTGTAGTGCAAAGTGGGGATTTCAAACACATCCTCAAAATCAACAGGGGCGCCCTGGCTGCGCCATCCAGTACTTGTTGAGGTCCCTGAAATGTCCTTGATCCTCAACGAGTTTCCCTTCGGCTTCGTCATTTTTTATGCTCTCGGACCTGGAACACAGGAAATCAGAAGTCCCAACCCTAGACAAAAGAAACCCCATGCAGAAGTCAAGTTCATATGTTGATGAATTTAGACTAGAAACAATGTCGCAGACGGGTAGCTTAGGAGTCAAGTGCAACAAGCTAACTCAATCTTTATGTTTTGTGTCTGTTGATGTCCCACAGTGAGAGAGAGAGAGAGAGAGAGAGAGAGAGAGAGAGAGAGAGAGAGAGAGAGAGAGAACGTTTGTTTTTCCTTTTAGAGCACGGAGACACAAAGAGGGAACGCTCGTACACAATATTTCAGTAGACAGATGTAAAGGATTAACAACAAACTTAAACAAATGTTTAGGTGTTGTATGTCAGTCACGATGATTCGATGAATTTTTATGACTATATTTGTTTTGGTGCTGTCTGTCAGTTACGATGAATTTATAGGACAATAAACACTTTCTCTCTCTAGCTAATCGGGCCAGCTGACCTGTCGCTACCCTTCTTCCCGCGAATACAACGTGCGGTCATTATGTATTTGCGGTATCTTTCGTCTAAATACAGCCAGGATGACCGTGCGCTGTATTCGGGGGAAAAGAACGCAGGGTAGCGAATTGGCCTCAGTGGACGTGTCTCTACCCATCTTAACCCGAATACAACGTACAGGTCATAACAATTGTATGTATTTGGGGCAACTTTGAGTCTAGATAAAACAATAATGACCTTTCGCTCCGGTTAAGGCGGGTAGCGAACTGACCCTTCTGACGTAACCCCGCCTTCCCCCGCCTTCCCCCGCCTTTCGCCGACGGCAGTGACCACCTCCCAGCCCCCACAATTTTCAGGAGATAATTGTTGTCCCTGCCACGTAGGATAGGAGGAATAATGATCCAAACAGCAAGGGACCGATCGGAGGGATCTAGAGTACTCGCACAACACAAAACAAAATCGATGTTGCAGGCTCTTCTTTCTGGAGGGATCCAGAGTACTCCCAAAACAAAACACGCAAAGATAATGAAAAAGAATGTTCAGTGCTCTCAGGCTCTTATTTTTCTTAGTGTGAAAGAAGCGGCATACGATAGGGCATTTCCTTATACTTTTTCTTTCTTTTGTGTTTTTTTCTTTTTCATTTTTTGCGGGCGAAGCTGCAACGGGTTACCTAGTGTGGATAAGATTATCTCCTCTCAGCCTCCTGTCAACTTATTATGTGCTGTGGCGTGTGAAGAACAAAGATTTCTATTCTTCAGATTGGAGGGCAGAGAGGCAGCAAGCGAGGGAGAGGGGCAGAGAAAGGGAGGGAGCGGGAGGAAGAGGGACGGAGAGGGCCGGAGAGGGAGGGAGAGGGACGGAAAGGGACGGAAAGGGAGGGAGAGGGAGGGAGGGGGAGAGAGAGGGAGGGAGAGAGAGAGGGAAAGGGAGGGAGGGAGAGGGAGAAGGCGGAGGGAGGAGGTAGGGAGAGGGAGAGGGGAGAGAGGGAGGAAGCGACAAGGAAGGGAGCACGACGGAGGGAGGAAGGGGGGGGGAGACTGACAACAACTTCACCAGAGAAGAAAGAGGGAGGGTAGGAGAGAGCGGGCGAGAAAGTGAGAGGGGCAATGTGGCGGAAGGCGGGGTAAGGTGGCAGACGGCGGGGGAAGGTTGCGGGGGCGGCGAACGAACGAGTGTGTGTGTGTGTGTGTGTGTGTGAGAGAGAGAGAGAGAGAGAGAGAGAGAGAGAGAGAGAGAGAGAGAGAGAGAGAGAGAGAGAGAGAGA